GCCCCTTCCCATAGCTCTCCAGGGTCTCAGGCTGAGGTCTTTCCCATCACCTCCTGCCTGGTCCTTTTAGCTGGAGATGCCACCGGGGATTGAACCTGGGACCTTATTGCATGCCAAGCAGAGGCTCTTCCACTGAGCCACGGCCCCTTCCCATAGTTCTCCAGGGTCTCAGGCAGAGGTCTTTCCCATCACCTCCCGCCCGGTCCTTTTAACTGGAGATGCTGCTAAGGATTGAACCTGGGACCTTCTGCATGCCAAGCAGAGGCTCTTCCACTGAGCCACGGCCCCTTCCCATAGCTCTCCAGGGTCTCAGACTGAGGTCTTTCCCATCACCTCCTGCCTGGTCCTTTTAGCTGGAGATGCCACCGGGGATTGAACCTGGGACCTTATTGCATGCCAAGCAGAGGCTCTTCCACTGAGCCACAGCCCCTTCCCATAGCTCTCCAGGGTCTCAGGCTGAGGTCTTTCCCATCACCTCCTGCCCAGTCCTTTTAACTGGAGATGCTGCCTGGGATTGAACCTGGGACCTTCTGCATGCCAAGTAGATGTTCTATCACTGAGCCATGGGCTCTCAATGTACAGCTGTCTTGCAGAGTTCCCATGGGTCAAATTCCCTCTATGTACCCTGGAGGCACCCATATTGGAGGCCAGGCTGTGGCATCAGTGCCGTGGACTTCCCTTACCTCTAGTGACCTTCATGCACTCATGGCCACAGCCGTTGCTGCAGCATTTCTCTCCTGCAGGACAGACGCCGTTCTTGCCGCACATTTCCGCACAGTGCCCAAAGCCTTGAGGCCTGGGGCATCTTCCGGGGAGCCTCGGGGGACGCACTGGAAGGAACACAGAAGGGCTGAGAGGCAAGGGGAGAGAGAAGCATTCCGGGAAGCGGGCACAAGAGGGCCTGTGGGTAAGGTTGCCAATCTCCAGGCGAGACCTAGAGATCTCCCAGAATCCAGACCAGTTCTCCTGGAGGAAATCGCTGCTTTGGAAGGTGGATTCAGTGGCCTTACACCCCGCTGCGGACCCTCCTGTCCTCTCCTCTCCCTGAACCCCACCCTTCCCAAGCCCTTAGGTATGGCCCAGACTAGGCCAATCACATGGGGTCCTGGAAGCCACACAGGGCTGGCCCAGGTGGGTCTTCAGAGGGGAGACCACCCAGGAAGCCCAGGGCTGCTGTGGAGAGGCAGGCCACGGCCGACTCCCACCCGGGCCCCCTACCATGGAGGCTGCAGACTGGTGAGGGATGGGAGGATGTCTTGGGCAAGGGAGAAAAGGGGGAAGGAGGGGAGGAAGGGCCATGGATGAGAGACAGAGGATTGCGTTCCTGCAGGTGGCCCCTCCTCCCCTAACTGCCCCAGCCCTCCTTCGGGTGGCTCTGTGGGAGATCCCCTCCTTTGGGTGCAGGAGGTCCCGGGCATGTTCCCCCAGTGCCCCCACCTGAAAGGGAGGTTGTTTCAGGGGAGTCTCGGGCAAAGGCCTTGCCTGGTGCCGGGGACAGGCTGGGAGTCACAGTGAAGCAACAGCCCCCCAGTCCTCCTTTCCGGCAACCTTCTTGCTGTGTCCGCACTCTGGAGACTCCGGCCGGCTTTATCACCTCTGTATAGACATCAAGCTGATGGGTCGGTACTTACCCGGATTCTCCTTTCCCCCCTTCTTGAAGATGGGGACAACATTTGCCCACCTCCAATCTTCTGGCACCTCACCTGTTCTCCAGGAATTCGGAGAACTTAGGAATGGCACTTAGGTCTGGCCCAGACTAGGTATGGACTAGGTACGGCCCAGGCTAGCCCAATCTCATGGGATCCTGGAAGCTACACAGGGTTGGCCCAGGTGGGTTGCTGCGGAGAGGCAGGCCACGGCCGACTCCCAAAAGGCCCCCTACCATGGAGGCTGCAGACTGGTGATGTATGAGAGAACATTCTATCACTGAGCCACGGTCCCTCAGTGTACAGCTGTCCTGCGGAGCTCACATGAGTTGAGTTCCCTCCTTGTACCTTGGTGGCCACCATATCAGAGGCCAGGCCGTGGCATCAGTGCCGTGGACTTCCCTTACCTCTAATTGCCTTCATGCAGCTGCGGCCACAGCCATTGAAGCAGCATTTCTCTCCTGCACCACAGCCGCTGTCGCTCCTACACATTTCCGCACAGACCCCACCGCCAGTAGGCCTGGGGCATCTTCCGGGGCGCACTAGAAGGAACACAGAAGGGCTGAGAGGCAAGGGGAGGGGGGACCATTCCGGGCAGCGGGCAGAAGAGGGCCTGTGGGTAAGGTTGCCAATCTCCAGGCGAGACCAGGAGATCTCCCAGAATCTCAACAGCTCTCTAGACTACAGAGCTCAGCCCAGACCAGTTCTCCTGGAGGAAATGGCTGCCCTGGAGGGTGGATTCAGTGGCCTTACACCCCGCTGCGGACCCTCCTGTCCTCTTCTCAAATCCCACCCTTCCCAAGCCCTTAGTTATGGCTGGCCCAGACTAGGCCAATCTCAAGGGATCCTGGAAGCCACACAGGGTTGGCCCAGGTGGGCCTTTGGAGGGGAGACCACCCAAATCCTGCTCATGCTCGGAAGCACAAAAAGAACACTGCAGCACACAAACACACGAAGCTGCCTTAGACTGGATCAGAACCACTGGTCCAGCCAAGACAGTTCAGCCCACTTAGACGGGCTGCAGCCCAACAGGGTCTCAGGCAAAGAGGTCTTTCCCATCACCTCCTGCCCAGTCCTTTTAACTGGAGATGCTGCCGGGGATGGAACCTGGGACCTTCTGCATGCCAGGCAGAGGCTCTTCCACTGAGCCACAGCCCCTCTTTACAGCTCTCCAGGGTCTCAGGCAGAGGCCTTTCACATCACCTCCTACCTGGTCCTTTTAACTGGGGATTGCATGGCTGCATGTCAAGCAGAGGTTCTTCCACTGAGCCACGGCCCCTTCCCATAGCTCTCCAGGGTCTCAGGCAAAGAGGTCTTTCCCATCACCTCCTGCCCAGTCCTTTTAACTGGAGATGCTGCCGGGGATGGAACCTGGGACCTTCTGCATGCCAGGCAGAGGCTCTTCCACTGAGCCACAGCCCCTCTTTACAGCTCTCCAGGGTCTCAGGCAGAGGCCTTTCACATCACCTCCTACCTGGTCCTTTTAACTGGGGATTGCATGGCTGCATGTCAAGCAGAGGTTCTTCCACTGAGCCACGGCCCCTTCCCATAGCTCTCCAGGGTCTCAGGCAAAGAGGTCTTTCCCATCACCTACTGCCTGGTCCTTTTAACTGGAAATGCTGCCGGAGATTGAACCTGGGACCTTCTGCATGCCAAGCAGAGGCTCTTCCACTGAGATCCTGGAAGGGTTTTTTGCCATCTTCTGGGCTGGAGAACAGTTGCTTCCTGACCCTGAATTAGCAGTTGGCATTCCCCTGGCTGTGTAAGAAAGGGCCACAAGAACTAAGCCCTGGGGCAGACCTTCCTGCCCTCCCTGCCCTCCCTCTCATTATTCGTCCCAAGTTCACAGAATCAGCATTGCTGTTGGATGGCCATCTAGCTCAAAGCTTCCTCCAAAGTGAAAAGCACAAAGCAGCCATTTTCTCCAGGAAAGTGGTTCTCACTTTGAAGGAAGCTTTGAGCTCACTAAGAGAGACTTTTTGCAGTGTTCTTTGAAACCAGTGAGGCACAGGGCAACTGATTGAAGAGCCTGCTAGCTGGCCCTTCTTTTGCTTCCTCTTCCAATCAATGGGATTCTTGGTAGGGGAATGTGGAAGCGTGAAAAGAAACTCAACCCTGGAGGTTAACTGCTTCCTTAATACTCGGAGTGAACGTATGGCGGAGCTTTTGGTGTGTTCTTTATATCCACAAATTCCTTCCCAATCCATTTGTTCCTATATTATTGTTTCCTTCATTTATTTACATCCCGCCTGTCACCCCAATGAGGACCCTTACATCATTCTCTTCACCTCCCGTTTATCCTCACAACAACCCTATAAGGTAGGCTGAGAGTGTGTGACTGCCCCAAGGACACCCAGCGAGCTTCTAGAGTGGAGTGGGGATTCGAATTTGCATTTCCCAGATCCTAGTCTGACACTGTAACCAGTGCCCCACTCTGGGTCTATATTACCTGTTCCTCCCTATCCAATTTCCATTCATGAAAGTAATCTATTTTAGGACGGTTTTTTTCTTGTGTTAGTGTGTTCCTAGGACCCACACACTTTGCCTCAGTTCCTAGTTCCACACAACCATCTTAAAGCAATCACCAAACCCTAAGTCATGTCCACACCTCATTTTTCTAACTTTTAAGACGTTCCTTAGGAGTCTTTTCAGTGTAGTGTTGATGGGACCCAGTGTGATGTAGCAGTCGTGGTGTCGGACTCGGGTCTAGGAGAACCAGGCCCAAATCCTCACTCTGCCGGGAAACTTACTGGGCGGGGATGGGCACAAACCTCCTCACAAATGAAAGTTCATGACTCATTTTGGCTGATTCGTGAAGCGAGGTTCATGAACTGAAAGTCCACCACAAACTTGCATGAATTTTAAGGCAGTTCGTGGTGATGTATGAAGAGCAGAAAGCAGGGGTTTAAAAGGCTCCAAGCCAGTTTGGTGTAGTGGTTAGGAGCACAGATTCTAATCAGGGAGAACTGGGTTTGATTCCCCACTCCTCCACATGTCGTTTCTGGTGTGACCTTGGGTCACTTATAAGTTCTTTCAGAGCTGTTCTCTCACAAGCAGTTCTTAAAAGAGCTCTCTCAGCCCCACCTACCTCACAGGGTATCCGTAGGGAAGGGGAAAGGAAAGGAGATTGTAAGCCACTCTGAGACTCCTTCGGGTAGTGAAGGGCAGGGTATGAATCCAGTCTCCTCCTCTTCCTCCACAAAAACAGTTGAGTGGTGGGGAGCAGAAAGCAGTAATTTAAATGGCTCCCTGCTAAAACCTATTGAGTGAGCCAGTTTGGTGTTGTGGTTAAGTGCGCGGACTCTAATCTGAGAGAACTGGGTTTGATTTCCCACTCCTCCACTTGCACCTGGCTGGATGACCTTGGGCAAGCCATAGTTCTGATAAGAGCTGTTCTTGAAAAAGAGCAGTTTCTGTCAGAGCTCACTCAGCCCCACCTACCTCACAGGGTGTCTGTTGTGGGGAGGGGAAAGGAGAGGAGTTTGTAAGCCGCTCTGAGACTCCTCTGGGTAGTGAAGGGCGGGGTATAAATCCAATCTCTTCTTCTTCTTCTATTGGTTCATGGTTCGGTTTGTGGTTCACCAACAAACCTAACTGCAAAAATATGGTTCATGCCCATCCCTCTGGCTGGATAAATTAGGGCTTGTCGCTGTCTCTCATAGTAACTTACAGGGTTCTTGCGAGGATAAGATGGAGGCAAAATACTGTTAGCATGTTCCCAGAATCCACATACTTTGTCTCAGTTCCTAGTTCCACACAACTAAGGCTCTTGTATTCAATAAATACATAAAATTCCACGTAGTGGTACTTTAAGTGTTTTCATTTTGAGTGGGCGTGTAAGAGACGGACTGTGTTTCACCCACTGGGCTGGGAGTTCTAATAGTAAGCCAAAGCACAGGCATCTATTCCTATCACAAGAACCCTGTTGGATCAGGCCTGTGCTCAGGACGCTTCGGAGGCACGTCTTTACACAGCCCAAGAGCTCCAGCCACGCATAGTCAGAAGAAAGTATCGGTGCCAGCCAGAAGCCTGCAATGTGGGAGGCAATATGTTTAATATTGTTAAATATTTGCAGGAACATTCTACTCTGGTCCAGTCCGAACTCTACCACTGGAAAACTGTGTGTGTGTGTGTGGGGGGGAGGTTGTCATCTCAAGACACACGACACAACTACATGAGGAGAAGGAGAAGAAGAGATTGGATTCATACCCCGCTCTTCACTACCCAGGGGAGTCTCAGAGAGGCTTAGAAACTCCTTTCCCTTCCCCTCCCCACAACAGACACCCTGTGAGGTAGGTGGGGTGACAGAGCTCTTGACAGAAACTGCTCTTTTGCAAGGACAGCTCTTATCAGTACCACGACTTGCCCAAGGTCATCCAGCAGGTGCAAGTGGAGGAGTGGGGAATCAAACCCGGTTCTCCCAGATTAGAGTCCGGTGGGAGTGGGGAGGTTGTAATCTCAAGAGACACGACGCAACTAAACAAAGAGGAGAGAAGAGATTGGATTCATACCCCGCACTTCACCACCCAGGGGAGTCTCAGAGCGGCTTACAAACTCCTTCCCCTCCCCTTCCCCACAACAGACACCCTGTGGGGTAGGCGGAGCTGAGAGAGCTCTGACAGAAATGGCTCTTTTTCAAGGACAGCTCTTGTCAGAACTACGGCTTCCCCAAGGTCCTCCAGCCAGGTGCAAGTGGAGGAGCGGGGAAATCAAACCCAGTTCTCCCTAAGCCTGGCCCTATCTGGGCTGGAAAAAGGTGCTTCTAGGCAGCGTCAGAAAGGGGTCTCTTACCGCGAGCAGAGGCAGGAGGCACCTGGGCACAGAGAATGAAGAGGAGTCCAACGAAAAAGAAGAGGAGGCAGCGAGTCTTCATGTTGAGGAACTGGCAGCTGCCTGGACTCTCCCTGAATGCTTTATATCCCAAGCCCAACAAGGGGCTGGCCACAATGCAGCCCCACACAGACCGAGCAGCGAAGTAACAGGAAACACAGCCAAAGAGCTACTCTTGTGTAACACTCCTCGGAAGATATGCAGCTCAGCAGGTGGGGGGGGTTGTCCTCTTCCACAGCGTGCATTCCATTTCCAGCCAGCGGACTGGATCCGGAGCACATTTCCATGGGTGCAAGCACACCGAGCCCCAAAAGCCCCCCCCCCAAAATCCTGGTCCTGGAAGTCCCGTCTCCCCAAAGAGCAGGACTTCAGGGGGCCTCTCAGGTGCCTGTGGGAAGAGGGAGCTGCAAAAGTCACACTCGGTTGGGCACAACTGTGTCTGCACTGAGCTCCAGGTTTTCTTTGAATTTTCAGTCAAATAAACAAGAAATAGGAAGCATAACATCCGTGGTGGCAAGTCCACACACAAGCATCTAAAAGAGGTTTCCAAATATCTAAAAGTATGTCCATACACAATTGTCATACGTTCAGCTTACTGGGTCTCATCCGTCCCACAATCTGCTCCAGGGATTTGTTCAGGTCTTACAGAGACACACACCCCCACCTCAGTGGTAAGGGGAAATAGACGTGGGAATAGAAGTCGCCTATATAT